CTGGAATTCTTGCCTCTTTCTTCCTCATTATCCATTTTTCTCTCTCTACTGGCTCAGTCCTATCAACATAGCAACATAATAGCATTTTTCCCACAGGAAGAAAAAGCCTCCCTCAATTTCACATAACAGTCCCCAAGTGAGTGGTCCAGGGCTGCTGTGGCGACTCAGCTTTCTCCACCCAGGGCTTCCATCTCCAGGCTAAGACAGTGGCTCCAGGTCTTGCCAATTCTCACATAATGGGAAGGGAGAAAAGAAATCAAAGGCCAGCAGCCTCGAAGCAACCTAAGTGCCCATCAACAGACGAATGGATAAAGAAGATGTGGTACATATATACAATGGAATACTACTCAGCTGCAAAACAGAACAAAATCATTCCACTTGCAATAACATGGATGGACCTTGAGAGAATTATGTTAAGTGAAATAAGCCAGCGAGAGAAAGATAATCTGTGTATGACTCCACTCATATGAGGAATTTAAAACTATGGACCAAGAACAGTTTAGTGGATACCAGGGGAAAGGTGGGGTGGGGGGTGGGCACAAAGGGTGAAGTGGTGCACCTACAACATGACTGACAAACATTAATGTACAGTTGAAATTTCACAAGATTGTAACCTATCAATAACTCAATAAAAAAAATAAAAATAAATAAAAATTTAAAAAAAGGCCAGCAGCCTCAACTTTAAGGGTGCTACTGGATGTTGCCCACTTATTTTCTGTTCATATGCCATCGGCTGAAACTTAGCCATGAATTTAGTCTAGATGCAAGACAGGCTGCGAAAGCAGTGGGCAATCGCTGCTGTACCTCTGGCACCTAGAACAATCTTTGACACACAGTAGGTATTCAATACATATTTTTTGAATGAAAGAATAAAAGAATGGCACAACAGTAAGCACTCAGTTACAGTTACTGTTATCATTATTATCATTTGCAGGCAGAAGGAGTGGTTGAGGTAAGGATGTGCTTAGGAGGGTAATTGTTAATAAAAAAATCTGGGAAGGCTAGCAGATAGTGACATATTGACATTAGTAAAGGAGAAGTGGCAGAGAAACCAAAGAACGAGCTCCTTAGGGGTTTGCAGAACTAATGAGCACCAAGTTTCCAGCTGGAGAATCAGTGAACAAACTGGCCTGTGCAAACGCGCCTCCAGGTTCTCCACCCTCCCCTCGTGGCCAGTCTGATTACCCACAATTCACGGCACTTAGGGTCACCCAGGAGCCATAGCCATTTTCCTATCAGACTTCCAGAAAAGTGTGTAGAAAAGAGGCTTTTCAAGCAAATGTTATTTTCCTTTGAGCTCCATCATCATAATCAGAGCTCTCTTCCTCTAAGGAACATTTTGGCCACTAAGAACAACATGAAACCTTAAAAACCACATTTAGAGAAGTCTTCAGCTCCAAAGTCTATGCTTTGGGATTCTAGCATAGCTGAAACTTTTTTTTTAATTGTACTTTTATAACTTTTAGTTATGGCTTCTTGAGCCAATTTGAGCTGGACCTACCTTTTGCTGATAGCAACTCTGAACCAGATATGACAGTGAGATTCTGGAATGTTTCAAGGAAAAAAGATAGATGAATTTTCTGTCGGAACATTAAGAGGATATTTGTCATATTCAAAGGAGATCATGGTTTTTAAATACTCTAAGTATAAATGGAAGTAAATTTCTAGGTTTCATTTATTTAATTAACAAAGCTTTATGTGTTCTAAGTGCTTCCCACAGATTAACTCATTTAATCCTGAAAACAACGCTGAGCGGTTGGTGTAGTTTACCGAAGAGGAAAATGAGGCACAGAGAGGTAAGTAACTTGCCAAGAGCTCACACCTCAGGGGTGGATCTGGGATTTCAACTCAAGCCATCCCACACCAGAGTCTGCGCCCCTCATACTCGCTGTGTTGAGGGAGAATGCTCAGGATTGTCTCTCCCTCTCCCCTCACTGTTCCCACCAGATCTCCACCGTCACTCCTAACCGCCTCACAGAAGCAGAGCTACCCTCTGCTTTAACAAGCTTGCTGTTTTCCACCAGCCTCAGACTGCCTGAGCGCTTCTACCGTCACATATGAGATAACTCTGGAAAGCTTGTTTTTGGCTCTCTCCCCACTGTCTGAACTCACTAGCCTATTTGCAGACAGCTGGTAACCCCGCTACAATCTGATGCAGTGACTTCAAACGGGAGGAAATGGCAACTCCTAAACTAAGGGCTGGCTCGTTCCTTCAGTTCTTCCTTGGCTTTCAAGACCACCCCTTGTTGTCGTACCCCTGTTAGCAAATTCCTCTGCTTCACAATTAGCTTCCGTTTAAAAGATCAATACATGTATCAAGGGTGCCTGTGCTGACTTCTCAGTTCCCAACCTTAGGGTTTGTTTATAAATGGGTTAACTGATGGCTGGCTTGTTGAATGTGGCAAAGGGCCAATCTTTTTTTCTGTAAGATGTGCAGTAGGGGATGTAGGGCCCCCTGTTGGCGGAAACAACCATGAAGTCAGAGACCAACCCCCCCATCTGAAAAATTACAGGATGGGACAGGAAGAAAATAAGTAGGGACATGATTCCAATTCTTAAAATGATTTTACGAATTAAATTCCCTAGTCCCAATGTTTATCGCTTATTTAAATCAATTTCCATCGAATGGAGACTATTATGTAACAAGTTCAAAGAGACATGCGCTTTCTTCTGAAACTTCAAACACAGACGTCTTATTTTAAATAAAGTTTCCACAGCATTATTTCTTGGGGCTTTTGTTTTTGTTGTTGTTTTTGACAATGTAGAATGGTTTTGTATACAAAGATGCATAACTTCTTTTACTGAAGCTGAATTCTCCATGGAAATTATCCAGCACTCCCCCAATTCACAGGCACTTTATCTGACAGTCTTTCTTCCCCCAGATAATGGCTGGCAGCAACCCACAGCGTGGAGGTTATATGCTGTACTTTTGCAAAAGTCTTGAATGGAGCCATTGTTCCCCTGAGATGGTCTGTGTGTTTCACTGAACAGAGAGCAGGGTGTAAAAAAGGCACCTTGTGTGCAACTGTTGGCGAGGTTGGGGAGTGAATTAAAATCTCCAGAAAGTCTGGGCAGTGCTGTTCAGAGGAGCAATGAACCCTCTGGAAGCTCTGTTAGCTCAGACATTCCAATGCGGTGAGGCAGCCTCAGGGCCACAGCTCCCTCCAGTCTCATTTAGAGAGGGAGCGAGGGGGCGAGCAAAGGACATTGATCTGGACCTGCTCTCTTTGCAAAGATTTAGGGAAGGTGCCCTTTTCCAAAGATGGGGTGATATTGATTATCACACTCAGATAACTTTCCTGCCCAACAGATCTAGACTTCCCTTGGTTACTAATGGTGCAATGACTCATTTGGAAGATCCAAGGTTAACTGCTTGTTCATCCACCAGTTTGTAACAATCTAATTTCTATGTGCTTAATTAAAAAAAAAATAAAAGACAAGTCTTTGGGGGCTCCAGGTGATCGATGATGTCTGATATTACTAGATTCATTAAATGCATTATAAAACGATAATACAAAACTGTATATTAAATAAATAGCCTACCTGTTTATTGTCAGCAATGCTTCCTTTTTCCTGGCTCCTCCATTCACCTGTCCAGGACAGTGTAGGCTCAGGGACTGCAGTACACGACCACTCCTGATTGCTCTAGCAGTAAGATCTCAAGCTCTTAATGAACAAAGAATTTCCTCAGAGCCCACTGCAGAGACCTTTCCGAAACTAGCTCTCAAGGGAGGAGGTAATGTTGATTTTCATTAAAATCGTACTGGTGAGAAAACAGCAAAACAGTTTAAGGACAGGCTGGCATACTTTACTTATAGGCAGAATTCTTTGGTGCCCTCCTGTGCATTCCTGTTCCAACCTTTTCTGTGCCCTGGAGGCTCAAAGGAGCCTCTTTTAAGAGTGATCTGAAAGAAAGGGTCAAACTTGAGCAGATGGAAAGTATGTGGGAGGAGGTGGTGATGCTCCAGGCAGAGGTTCAGCCTGAGTGCAGGTACAGTGCTGGAGTGGGAGAGACATCGTGGTGGGTGGTCCACATGAAATAGGACATGTTGGGTTCCTACTGTCATGGGGAGTTAATTTGGAAGGCAGTAGGGAGCCAATGAAGATTTCAATGCATTTTGAAGTTGTAGACGAGGAAGAATAATAGGCTGTGGTGTGAAGAATGATTCAGTCCAAGGAGAGGACAGATGGGAGGGGATACGGGCCACAGGAATTCGCCCTGATTGAATGTAGGAGGAGTCAGACCTATGGAAGGGCCATTCGTCCATCAGAACAGCTATAGAGGGAGGAGGAAAAGATTTAGGGGAAAAGGAGAAGGATGATGACTTGATTCTTCTTCAGGTCCCTGGCTCTCCTAAGACTGCCAACTGGGTATAAAGGCTCCGTGCAGAGCCTGTAGCTTCTGGCAGCTGTGAACCTCTTGTTTCAGCAATGAAAGAGCACTGGATTGGAGTCTGCAGACCTGCAGGGCCACTGTTAGTAGCAAAAGGAGCGTCTCCAGAGCCTGGCACAACGCTGGGCACATTATGGCACTCAGTATACATTTGTTAAATGAATGAATGACCGAATGGATTCCAGATTTGGTGCTGCCATTTACTAGAGTAACCTTGGTCAAGTCATCTATCCGCAGGAGCCTCAGTTTCCATATCTGTCAACCGGAGATGGTCCCCTGGGGGTAGGTGTGGGATTAAATTCCCGCGGCCCGAGGTTCCCGCCCTCCCCGGAGCGCAGAGACCCGGCATTGCTCTCGCCAGCTCCCGCCCGCGCCTGGGCGAAGGCTGGCCCCCGGGGCCCGAGGCGGGGCGCCGCGGGGGTCGCGCTGCGGGCGGCGGCGGCCGGGTCCGCCCCTCGCGCCCGCCTTCCCCGCGCCGCCCGAGGCCGGGGGCGGGCCCGCTTCAGGCCGCTCCCCCGGCCGCCCGGCGGCCCGCGGCGGCGCTCGCGGCCTCTCACCCGGGGCGGGCGAGTTCTGGGAAAGCCCGGCCCAGGGCGGGGGCCCGCTGCCGCCCGCGCCGCCGTCCGGGCAGCGCGCAGAGCTCGGCGGGCGCGGAGCGAGGCAGCGGCGCCCGGCGGGCCGCGCACGGTACCCGGGCGGCCGCGGACCCCGGCGGGCTCGCGGGCGGCGCGCCCCGGGCTCTGCCTCCCGGGCAATTGCCTGGTTCCTGCGCGCTCCTGGCATCCGCTCTGCAGCTGACACACGGTAGCGGGGACGCCCGACGCCTCTAGCGACAGGCGCGTCCCAGGGGGACGCTGCACTTGGGGACTCCGGCGCGACCGGCCAGAAGAGGAAAGGTGAGGAGGCGACTCTGTGTGGCTCGGTTCCTGAGGCTTGGAGAAGGGGAGAGAGGGGCTTTTTTTTTTTTTTTTAAGTCTCTGAATCCAGTAGATCCACCCAGGGCAGCTGCCTATCCCCGCGTCCCTGGCAGAAGAGTCCCCACACCCCCCAACCCAGGGGAGAGCTGAGGCAGGCGAGTCCCGAGGGAATGCAGGCCAGCCATCACATGGGCTGGAGAACACCCTGTAAGTTCTTCCTTCACTCATTCAGATTTGCCTCGGGTCCCCACTTCATTTTGTGTGTACAGTGTGGAGGTGGCCAGTACAAAGAAGAAAAATAGAAGCTCTTTTTGTGACGGTACCTAGCAACAGTATTTCAAGGAAGGTGCTCAAGAGATTATTCCTGGAGAGACTTATCTACATCAAGTCCTAGAAAATACAATATTGGACCTGGTCCCACTTTAACTGGTAATTAGAAGGATGGCTGCGTCTTTTTTTTTTTCCTCTGAAAGTCTTCTAATGCTGTCATAACGAATAACCTAGAGCTGCAAGTCCTCCCTCGTGGCTGATGTTAAATGCACAGTGTAGATTTATGTTTTCCCTCCGCCTGCCTGGTATTTAAGCCATGAGACACTTGGTTCAGCTGACTCAACCAATTATTCTGTGTAAGAAAGATTCATTTTTTAAAGATTTATCAGCGTTATTTTAAATAGCTCCCTAAATAGATGTTAATAGGATTCACTTCATGGAAAAGTTTTATTTGCACACGGTTCATGATTTTAGTTGCATTATGTGAAATTTGCTGGGAGGTCATTGAGATCCCTGCAAAGTTAGTGCGTTTCCATGTATTTCTTGCAGGAACCCCTGGTAGGGATAGGGTGCGGCCGCTGCCATTGAAACCGCACAGCGCAGGCCAAGAATGCTGGACCCCATTAGGGAGAATTTTGGAGAGCTTGTCTTGGGAGGTGGATGCAGGTGACCCCACAGATGCCTGTACAGGGGCCCAGTTGTTATTTGGGGAGAAGGGCAGGTAAATTATCTTTGGATGCTATTTGCAGCCATGTCTTCCCAAATACTTTCTGAAGAATGCCTGACGTTGCTGTCATCTAGAACATTCTTTCCTCTTCCCGATGGCCCTTCCTTCCTCATTTTTACCACTCTAAATCCTTATGATCCTTCAAACTGAATTTTGTTGCTGCTGTGACGCCTTCTCTGATACCCCGGCCCCAAATACTCAGCCTTCCCCTGCTCTGATTCCTACAGCATTTTACCTTCCCGGCCTTTCGCCCCTGCCTTCCATGAGAGTTATTTCTGTAGACGTCTCATTTTCCCTACTGAAGGCATTTACTGTGGCTTTCTTGGCGTAGTGCTTGCACCTAGAAGGCCCTCTAGAAATAATTGCAGGCCATTATTAAATGTTACGACTTTGGTTCTTCAACACATCTCTACTTTGGAGGAGGTAATATACCCGAAAGGATTTAGAGAAAAGCGTAATATTTACCATTCACATTGTCCTCCATTTACAGCCCCACAGGGGAAAGTTTCTTTATAAGGAGCCATGCATAATAATCATCTTTGGTCCATGCCTTGGAACCAAGTAAGAGGGGAGATTGAGCTGGAGGGACGTTCTTCCAGTCCTTCTAGTAACATTAGCAACTTGGATGTGCTCCAAGGTTGACCTGTGTCATTAAAAATTCCATGCTCAAGTGGGTTGTGGTGAAGCTAGATTCCAGCGAAGGTAGCTGGTTTTCTTTTTCTATTTGCAACCATTCCTAGTCACGGTCTTCTCTGGGCTTTTGTTGTATACTTTAAAAAATCATTTGATGTGCAATTTGTCACCTACAAATTTCTAAATGAATAAAGGAAGATTGAAAAGAACTGTGCGTGATGGATCAGTCTTCTAAAGCAGAGAGCAGGGAGTGTTTCCCATGCCTGGTCAAGAGGAGGTGTTTGCACAGAGCCAGGCTGCGCTGCACGTGTGTGTGTTGGCAGGCCCTGCCTTCTACACACCTGGCTGGCAAGCCGCCCATAGAAGACAACAACTGCTTCAGTCTGGGCTCCTTCTCTCTGCCTGGGCTACCTCTGCTGGGGAGGAGGGTCGGTGCATGGGAACACAACAATTTAGAGCTTCTGAGTTCAGAAGGAGAGGCAGGGAAGAAGCCAGAAAAAACAGTAACAGCTTAGAGTGTGAATCTGTTTGATCAGGTTGCTTTCCTCCTGATGTTTTATTGAGATCTTTGGCATTGAGCAAGTAGGCATTTGTTTGGGGAGAGGAAAGGAAGGTGACTGGGGAGGATGGTGCTTCTGGAGGTCTGGAAGGTATTGATGGGGGCTTAGGAAAGCTTGTGGCCCAGTTACATGGGGCCCCCAAGAGGAAGGTTGGGGATGAGGGAGTGGGGAGTAGAGAAAGAAGAAGATACCAAAGATACACTTTGCTGTGGGCCAACCACAGGGCCTAGAAAGGAAGAGAAAACTCCAGCATCCTGTGGTCCTCTCTGCTCCCAGGGTACCGAACTCAGCCTTGTTTTTATTAATGCTGTAATTTGTCTGTGCTATGCCTTAAACAGGTTTTCATGAGCCAAATTGGGAACTCAGCCCTCTAGGGCTGTGCTGTCCAGTATGGTAGCCACAAGCCACATATGGCTGCTTGCATTTAAATTTAAATTAGTATTAAATGAAATTAACCGCATTTCAAGCGCTCAATAGCTACATGTGGCTAGTTGCTGCCATACTAGACAATGAAGATATAGAACATTTCCATCATCTCAGAAAGTCCTGTCCTGGAGTATTGTTCTAAAGGATTAATGCCTGCTAATCTCCAAGGTACTGATTTCCAAACCAAATTTATTCATAAATTAAAAATTTACTGTTTATAGTCTCCTGGAAAGTCTAAAAATAGATTAATAGATGAAAATAATAGTAGTGACTATTGTTGGTAACACTTGTATAGTGCTTACTCTACCACATGCCAGGAGTGTTCTAAGCACTTACATCTATTAACTCATTTAATCCTTAGAACAACATTAAGCAGGAAGTGCGAGAGATCTGTTATCCCTTAGCTGCAATTCCAAAATCAAAAATGTTCTGAAAGCTGTGGTTTTCATAAGTTTGGCTACAAAACTTAGTCTGAATGACTTGAGGTTGTTATAATCTTTATTTTTCTCACCTGTTGAGAACTATTCATACATTTTTACTTCAGAAATAATGGACATGTTTGTTTGCTGCAGACCCCACTGACAGTGTTATGTAATAGGTGGCGTATGTGCTGTCTTCCTGTTACAAAAGGCAAAAAACTTTTGGATCACACTTAGCTCCTCAGAGTTTGGATAAAGAAGTATGGAGCTCCATTATGATGCCAGTTTTGAAGATGGGAAAACTGAGGAACTGAAAGGTTAGGTAACTTGCATAAAGTCACAGTAGGAAGGTGCCAGAGTCAAGATTCAGTCAGAGCAAACCAGCTCCAGAGTCCATTCCCTTGACCACTGTGCTATCCTCCATCGGCCTCTGGGCTCATCACCCAAATGACTGACCTTTTTTGGCTGGGTGGGTGAAACCAAAGAGCTTTAACTCAGTTCATTAGAAAGTTTCAGGTAGGGCTGTGGCTAACTGGTTTAGCAGTTGAGATTTTGAGATGCTATCCCTAGTTAAACCACCGTGATAGGCATGCTTCACAATTGTTTAGCCTGCCCCTTTCCCAACCTTGTGCCTGTCGCACTTGGTTTTGAGCCATTTGCTCAGTAAGAACTGGTAGGGAAAGAGGTCATTCATCGTGGGCCCTTCATTGAAACCTGTAGCACATGGGGGCTTATACACTTAGAACTGCTGTGAGGTAGAAGGCAGGGAGTGGTTTAGTCCTGGTGTATACCAACTATTGAACTGTGGGTAGGGCCATTCTGGTGGCCTGCCAGATTCTGAGGCTTCCTGGTATGGTTTCAGAGGGTCTGGATCAATCTGACTCAGTTGAAAGTCCCTCCAGGGGAGACTGTGAGTTCCTCTTTTCTTCTGGGAAGGCACCTGGAACTGCAGGAGGGGTCTGGGGTCAAGACAGACTTTTCCCTTTCCCTCTTCAAGTAGTGGCAAGCCTAAGTGGTCTCTTCTTGGCTTTTTGGTTCAAACCTGCATTTGAAGAAATTCTTGAGTAACCACAAGGTTTCTCCTTTAAGTATGAGAAAATGTTCTGGATGCTCCATCATCTGTGCAGACCTTTTACTAAGGGCTCTGCACAACCCCCATCTCTCTGTATCCAGGGAGCATGCGTACCTCTTGTGGCACAGTCTTTGAGACCCCTAATAACTGTGGTGGCTCCAGTTATAATGGCTTAAAGTGTAGGGACAAGGCACTCTATTGGTGAAACACAAGGGCTCTGGAATCAAACTTACCTGGGTTTACATAGGCTTTCCCTACTACCTGTACAACCTTAGACAAGCAATTAGCCTTTCTGTAAGATGGTAATTTTATAGGGTTGCTATGAGGCCTAAGTATAATTCACCTAAAGCATTTTGCATAGTGCCAGACACATAGTCAGTGCTCAAAAAGCTAGCTACTGTTAGTGTGGTTTTTTCCCTCTAGGCTTACCTAAGTCTTTCTAGTCTGAAATTTTAGACTTTGGAGAGGCATGTGTGGTAGGCTGAATACAGTCATGCACCACATAGCGACATTTCAGTCAATAACCCTGTGCCTACACAACGGTGGTCCTGTAAGATTGGTACCATGTAGCCTAGGTGTGTAATAGGCTATACCATTTAGGTTTGTGTAAGTACGCGCTATGATGTTTGCACAATGATGAAATTGCGTGACAATGCATTTCTCAGAAAGCATCCCTTATACCTCCTTAAGTAATGCATGACTATAATGGCAGTGGCCTCCCAGAGGTGTCCAGATCTTGATTCCTGGAACCTGTCAATGTATTACTCTACATGACAAAATGTGGATTTGCAGATATAATTAAAGATTTTAAGATAAGGTTGTCCTGGATTATCTGTGTGGGCTCAGTCTAATCAAAAGGGTCCTTATGAGAG